ACTTAATCAGTTCATATTGTAAATCAGGATAGCGTTTATCTTTGGGGGAAAAGAAGAGAATAGAAAATCAGGGGATCCACAAAGGGGGCCCTGGCACCAGGAAGCCCTCTGCTTCCTGACATGGTGCTTATCATGTGATTGTAGTTACTTCATAAAAATTCGTTGACATGATCTTGCTTTTGTGCAAAATCTAATAATAGTAGTCAAACTTGGATTTCCCTGGTGGCACAGTGGATGAGAATCAGCCTGTCAATGCACGGGACACGGGGTTGATCCCTGGTCTGGGGGGATTCCACATGCCGCGGAGCAACTAAGGCCACGTGCCACAACTACTGAGTCTGAGTGCTGCAACTACTGACGCCCGCGCACCCAGAGCCTGTGCTCCACAAGAGAGGACACCGCAGTGAGAAGCCCACGCACCACAATGAGGAGTAGCCCCTGCCAGCCGCAACTAGAGAAAGCCCGTGCACAGCAACGAAGACCTAGCACAGCCAAACACAAATAAATAAAAACAGTCAAACTCATAGAGGCAGAGAGTAGAACGGTGGCTGCTTAGGGGTTGGGAAAGTGGGGAGATGTTTGTCAAGGGGTACACGCTTTTAGTTATGCAAGGTAACTAAGCCCCGGACACCATGGTGACTGCAGTTAACAGTAAGGGATTGTATTCTTGAAATTTACTAATAGATATTAAGTGTTCTCCCCACAAACACACACGAAATTCGTAACTGTGTGAGGTGGTGGATTTGTTAATCAGCTGGACTGTGGTGATCCTTTCATCATGCATACAAATATGAAAACATCAAGTGACATACTTTAATCCTATACAATTTGTATTTCTCAATTATACCTCAATAAAGATGGGGGAAACTCATTTAGCTATACCTGTATGACATCTGGAACGGACTGCAGGGAGATATTTGCAGCTCGCATGCAGGGAATGGAGCAGGATATAGAATATATGTTTAAAATAGCTCCAACAAATCAATTTGGAAAAGATCAACAACTCAAGAGTAGCTGGGAATAAAGATAGAAACACATTTCATGGGAGAGAAAATGCAATAAAATATAGGACTATACAAACATGAACCAATATCCAACTTCACTAGAAAAAAATGCACCCAAAGCAAAAATATAAATTTTTCAGGAACTCACATTACTATGGGTTGAATTCCATCTCCCTAGAACCTACATGTTGAAGTCCTAATCCTCGGTTCCTCAAATTCTGTTTGTAGAGAAAGGGTCTTTTAGGAGGCAATTATGTTAAAAATAAGATCATTAGGGTCAGCCCTAATCTGATCTGACTGTTGTTACCCCCAAAAGAGAATATGCATATTTACATACATGTGTATGTGGTTATTATAAACCTTACTGATATAAAGAATGTGTAACACAATTTACAAATTTTAAGATATACAATATCTTTGTTGTCGATTCTATATAGCCAATTGACTCTGACACAATACTTGCTTGATTTTTGGTGAACTCTTGTATTCACAGCCAACCTATGGTTTCGGGTGATAAATGAATGTAGTTGTGAGACAAACGTTATTTGAGATTTTCCTTGATGTGGTATTCCGTTGTGTGTATATATACTTATGCACACAATGGAATACTACTCAGCCATAAAGAAGAACAAAATTTTGTCATTTGCAACAACATGGGTAAACTTGGATGCTAAATGATACCACTCACTTATGGAATATACAAAACACAACAAACTAGTGAATATAACAAAAAAGAAGCATATTCACCGATGCTGAGAGCACAGAGGTGAAGAATTAAGAGGTACAAACTACTGGGTGTAAGAGAGGCTCACGGATGTATTGTACAACATGGGGAATGTAGCCAATGTTTTGTAATAACTGTAAATGAACTATAACCTTTAAAAATTGTATAAAAATTAAAAGTTAATTTAAAAAGACAAAAATAAAGCAATGAAGTTGTGTGTTGAAACTTTTTTGCCAATGATGTGAGTCACTTTTGCTCAGTCAGATAGTACTTTTATTAAATATTGGCAGAAATTTCCTCAGTGTTCTTGGGCTATTCACGGTGGCTGTAGAAATGTGTGTTCAGTCCCTTAGTCACGTCTGACTCTTTGCAGCCCAATGGGCTGCAGCATCCCAGGCTTCCCTGTCCTTCACCATCTCCCAGAGCATGCTGAAACTCATGTCCATTGATTTGGTGATGCCATCTAACCATTTCATCCTCTGTCATCCTCTTCTCCTCCTGCCTTCAAACTTTCCCAGCATCTGGGTCTTTTCCAATGAGTCGACTCTTTGCATCAAGTGATGGAAGTTTTGGAGCTTCAGTTGAGTCATAGATAATAGCAAAATGTAGTAAAGTAATTAGTATTTTTTGTTTTACTGAAAATTTTTTACAATTTAATTTTTAATCATGGCTGTGTTTAACAACTGGCTTACCTAATTCCTGGAAATTTCAATCAGTTCTCATGACCTGATGTGAGTTTGCACAGGCACACATGAATTAAGCAATCCAGCACACACAAGGATGTGCTGGCATGCCAGCCCTGCCCTGACCCTCCTATTGGAACTGGCCTTGTCCACACCCCATTATGATAGAAGCCAGGGGGGCATCTTGGTGCCATGTGACACCCCCCCCTCCCCCCCGCCCCAGGCCAGAGCTGGCTAGGTCAGATTGAACACATGTAACCTAAGAAGACAAGTTCGATTTTAGACTGAGTCAGAGTCCCTATTTCTCAGGATTAGAACCGAGATTCAGAGAAAGTGGCCAGAAGGTAACTAGGCAGAAGAGAGACCCGTGGAGTGAAACGCGGAGTTTGTCCATGGTGGAAAACCAGCACTAGGATGAATCGTCACAAGCTCTCTTTGCTCGGGTCATAAATCTATCCCCGTTCTGAACCTTCCTTGATTGTTCAGATTTCCCCTTTTTATTTATGTATTTTTTCCATCTTTGCTCTATCCTCACCTGCCTGCCCATCTTTGAGCTAGAACCGAAAAATCTAAGAAAGCTGTTGCATCACTCACTCTAACTGGATGTTGCCTGCACACAAACAGGGAGATGGCCAGGTTCCACCTGCCTGTGTGAGGAATGCCCATGGGCACCATCCAGGTTGAAACAAAGGTCCGTTTGGCTGATGCCCGAGCCACGCAGTCCTTCCTGAGTGTCTTACACAGAGCACCAGAGTATGCTCTCAGGGGAGGCAGAGATATCCCAAGGAGAATGGGAAGGATGAGTCATCCACAGGACCACAGGGCTTTCCATGAGACGCCATGAAATGTCAGAAAGACAGGCCCACAAAATTCATTTAGATGCTGAAACTGACGTCAGCTCACCTGCTCATTCATTTGTCCTATGGTAGAAAGCCTGCAACATACCACTACAAGCCTCCCGACTCCTAGAAAACCTTTGATCTTGGCATCTTTTCCGTGAAAAGATAAATCTGGAGTAAATGTTGTGCAAACTGAAAGCAGGTGAAGATTTTGTGTATTTGTTTCCTAAAACTTCTTCCTTCGTACTAACTAAACTATGGGCTTCCCAACTGGTGCTAGTGGCAAAGAACGCACCTGCCAATGCAGAAGACATAAGAGATGTGGGTTCAATCCCTGGGTCGGGAGATCCCCTGGAGGAAGGCATGGCAACCCAGTCCAGTATTCTTGCCTGGAGAATCCCACGGACAGCGGAGCCCAGTGGGCTACAGTCTATAGAGTCACAAAGAGTTAAAGACGACTGAAGTGATTTAGCACAACTACTAAACGAAAGGCAACTACACCATCCCAGGGCAAAGAAATGAACTTTATTGGAAGAGAAAGTAAATGTAGGCAGTGTATGCATTTATAAAATATATGTGAGATAGGGACTTTCTGGTGGCCCAGTGGTTAAGACTCTGCATTCCCAATGCAGGGGCGTGGGTTCAATCTCTGGTTGGGGAACTAAGATCCTGCATGTGACATGGCCAGAAACACATGTGGTGGTTGATTTTATGTGTCAACTTGATCGGACCACCAGTACCCACTTAGTCAAACATGATGCAGTGGCTGACTTTATTTTTCTGGGCTCCAAAATCACTGCTGATGGTGACTGCAGCCATGAAATTAAAAGACGCTTACTCCTTGGAAAGAAAGTTATGACCAAGCTAGACAGCATATTAAAAAGCAGACATTACCTTGTTTTTTTGTTTTGTTTTGTTTTGTTTTCACTTTAATTTATTCTTTGTAAAGTGACAGCATGCAGACAAACCACAGAAGCTTTAGACATAGTGTTGACCAGTTTTAAAACTGTTAACAGCGAGTAACTGTTTTACAGCCAATAACATTTACACCGACTCCTCATCTTGTTATACAAAGGCATTAAGAACACACACAGTTCTAATTCCTTATAAACCTATTTGTCAAGCAGCAAGATGACAATACACCGTAGCATAGCACAGAACGTTTCCTTCAAGAAACCAGAGCAGCGATATTTGGTTAATGGTTATGCATAGAACTTAAAGAGTAATAAACACTGGTCATAAAGCAAGTGACACATGTACATTAATGAGTGAAAAATGTTAATTTTTATTAATATAAGATAAAATGTTGCTCTTTATGCTTTAAGTTAAAAACTATAGAATACTTTAAAAGCAGACAATACAAGGTGCTTTCATTTTAGACTCCATATCAAAATACCACTCCATTAATTGCTTAAGAACCCATAACCTTTGAGTACTGCTCATTGGCTTTTTAAAGTCAACCTGAAATATAAAAGCACTTCAAGTTTACCAGTCAAAAGCTAATGTTACACTGGTTACGTGTTACATTAAAACATAGCTTTTAAGAAAAACTGAATTTAAAAATACTGCAGCATGGAGCTCTAAAAAGTAAAAATGCACTACTTTCAAACCTTTCAACACATTTTGGTTCAAAATGCCCTATTTTGTAAAATCATTACTTACTATATTCCAAACTTTCAGTTAAAATGACAGGTTGAAGTTTTTTTTAAATCTGATAATATCTAAAGAAATGGGTCAGCATGTAAATTGGCTATCCACCACAAAATGATGTTCCCACCATGAAAACATCACTACAGAGACCCATTGGATGAATGTAAATCTTAAAAACTTTATTTAACAGCGTCACACAAATATTTAGTGTTTTTGGCCTTGAAATCAGAGCAATGCTACCAATAAATCTGAGATATGCAATTTTCACAGAAGTTTCAGAAGCAAAAGAAGAAACACAATTTACAAGTAGTTGGTTGGACAGAAATGAAAGCACCCAGCAGAGTCCTCTCATTTTAGAATTAATCCTCCAGCGAGGGCATCTGTGGTCACCATCACTGTTAGAGAGCATTCAGAAAAGACTAATACTTGGTTTGTTTTTTCATGCTCAGAACCCTCCAAGCTTCAAAATCAACCACAGGCTACTAAGAAAATGAAAATGCACTTATGATGAGCTCTGTAAGTTCAGCTACAAAAGCACTAAAACAGGAAAAATAAAAACAGAAACACTATATCACACAAGTAACTGTGTTAACTATTTCTCTTGCCTCTCTCAGTGGCCTTAGAAATAGGGACTATGATGAGCCTATTAAGAAAAGAGGTGTGCGCTGGGGGGGGATTGGGAATGTTTCAAACAAAGGAATCAGTTTGTAGAATTTTCATATTGGCAGCAGCAACTTCTTTTTACTTTCCTAAGAGTTAAAACATGGCAGAGTGTGAGCTATTAATATGCTTTGGGCATACTTCCCAAACAAAGGAACCTTTGCCAACAAAGGTCCGTCCAGTCAAGGCTATGGTTTTTCCAGTGGTCACGTATGGATGTGAGAGTTGGACTATAAAGAAAGCTGAGCACCAAAGAACTGATGCTTTTGAACTGTGGTGTTGGAGAAGACTCTTGAGAGTCCCTTGGACTGCAAGGAGATCCAACCAGTCCATCCTAAAGGAAATCAATACTGAATATTCATTGGAAGGACTGATGTTGAAGCTGAAACTCCAATACTTTGGCCACCTCATGCGAAGAGTTGACTCATTGGAAAAGGCCCTGATTCTGGGAGGGATTGGGGGCAGGAGGAGAAGGGGACGACAGAGGATGGGATGGTTGGATGACATCACTGACACAATGGACATGGGTTTGGGTAGACTCTGGGAGTTGGTGATGGACAGGGAGGCCTGGTGTGCTGTGATTCATGGGGTCGCAAAGAGTCAGACACAACTGAGCAACTGAACTGAACTGAACTGATGCAGGATATGTCTGTGAAGGTGTGTTTCTGGATGAAACTAATATTTTGAATTTGTAGACAGAGTAAAAAGCAGATATCTCTCCCCAATGTGGGTGGGCCTCATTCAGTCCACTGATGGCCTGAATGGAACAGAAAGGCTGACACACCAGGAAACTCCTCCTGCCTCATTGTCCTGAGCTCAGACGCTCGTTCCTTGCTGCTTTCAGACTGGAACACACAGCATCAACTCTCCAGGTTCTCAGGCCTTCAGGCTTGGATGAGAGCTACAGCACTGGGTGCCCTGGGTCCTCAGCTTGCCAACCACAGATGCAGGGACTTCTCAGCCTCCATAATCTTGGGAGCCATTACACACACAGAGAGACACACACCCTGTTGGTTTCGTTTCTCTGGAGAACCTTGAACAGTACAATATGTGCATGTAGATGTGTTGTGGTTGCTGTCGTTCAGTCACTAAGTCACACCCAACTCTTCGCGACCCCATGGGCTGCAGCACACCAGGCTTCCCTGTCCTTCACCATCTCCTGGAGCTTGCTCAAACTCATGTCCATCGAGTCAATGTTACCATCCAACCATCTCATCCTCTGTCGCCCTCTTTTCCTCCTGCCTTCAATCTTTCTCAGCATAATGTCTTTTGCAATGAGTTGGCTCTTCACATCAGGTGGCCAAAGTATTGGAACTCCAGCATCAGTCCTCCCAGTGGACATTCAGGATTGATTTCCTTTAGGATTGACTGGTTTGATCTCCTTGCAGTCCAAGGGACTCTCAAGAGTCTTCTCCTGACTGCAGCCATGAATTTACAAGATGCTTGCTCCTTGGAAGGAAAGCTGTGACAAACCTAGACAGCATATTAGAAAGCAGAGACATCATTTTGCCTACAAAGGTCCGTATAGTCAAAGCTATGGCTTTCCCAGTAATCCTGTAGGGATGTGAGAGTTGGACCATTAGGAAGTCTGAGCACCGAAGGACTGATGCTTTCAAATTGTACAATATGTTCCTTCTCTGTAAAACAACGATACCTCACAGGGATGCTACCAGGCTCACATAGCATAACGAGTTCACTCACTCACTCATTCATTCAATATTCAGTGGGTACCAGTAAAGCATAGAAAAGCCCTTGTGAGGCACCCAGATCCTGGCTGGAGGCTGGGAACAAGTTCTTGAGGCTATACATATTGTTGCTCATGCAAGTAATGGTTTCTATTCATTGCTCTATGTGGCAGTGGGCAGTTTATAAAGAACGTGATTAGAAAGGAAGGCAATTTAGGATTTAACTGTATGAAATTTCAGGAAGCCACACCCCAGGGCCTGGAAAAAAAAATACACCTGGTTGGAAGGCAGCTGAGTCAAGTTTGGGGGCCTTTCTTGGGTGCCACCCTGAAGGGCCCCAGTCAGCTTCAGCATCCCAGACTCTGAACTTGAAGAACACATGGAAGTCTCATTTTAGGCAAAAGGTGGATTTTGGAAGGCTTTGCTTCATTCAAGACTAATTTTCACAGACTTGTTTAAAAGGATTTATATCAAATTATGTGCATAAGGTGAAGTGAAATTCATAATTTTTCAGTGGTTTTGGTCTCATTGTTTAGTCTCTAAGTCATGTCCAACTCTCTGCAACCCCATGGACTGTAGCCTACCAGGCTCCTCTGTCCATGGAATTTCCCAGGGAAGAATACTGGAGTGGATTGTCAATTCTTTCTCTATGGGATCTTCCCAATGCAAGGATAGAACCCATGTCTCCTGCCTTGTGGGAAGATTCTTTACCACTGAGCCACAAATTTTTTATTGTATTGTTTCAAAAACTTCCATACTTAAATTTTTATAAGATGCATCTGGTTGTGCATTGTCTGGTCCAGGCTCTCTGACACTGACCCCTTAGAGTCTGTGCTCCACCCACCTGAAGGCCCTCTCCTCCTGGGCCCTGGGCAGCTCATCAGTGCCTGACACCCCATGTCACTCATTTCCAGGGCTGTGGAGCCCTGCCTGTCCTGGGCTGGCTGCTCCTTCCACAAGTGGGGTTCCAAGGCCTTGGTAAAAAAAAAAAAAAAAGGCCCCTGATCCGTCCCCAGGATGCACTTCCAGAACTCCACTCCCTTAAAATTTTCTCCACTTTCTCGTGTCTGTGGCTCAGAGTTTGTGTGCACTTCACTGTTCAGTTACTAAGTTGTGTCCAGCTCTTTGCAGCCCCGTGGACTGCAGCATGCCAGGCTTCCTGTCCTTCACTACTGGAGTCTGCGCAAACTCATATCCATCCATGTGTCAGTGATGCCATCCAACCATCTCATCCTCTGTCGCCCCCTTCTCCTCTTGCCTTCAATCTTTCTCAGCATCAAGGTCTTTCCCAATGAGTCAACGCTTCACACCAGGTGGCCAAAGTATTGGAGCTTCAGCTTCAGCACTCTGGACTATCTTGTCTGTTCAGAAGTGCACACCCTGAGCAGCCTCTGAGGGTGTTTAACCTCAGAGTTCTGCCCCCTTTCACCTGGACATCTCCCCACATCATGCCCATCATGAAGCACGGGTCCTCCCCTGAGCACCAAGCCAGCAGCACCTTGATGCAGTCTGTCGGGCAGCTGTGCAGCTCTTGTGGAAGACCCACCTTTGCCCGAAGCTGTCAGCATCACACCCAGCTCTTCTGAGGGCTACACACTGTCCCTCTTCCCTCCAGTTTCAAAGCCCCCTTCCCACCACTGTGTAAGCCTTGCTTCCTCTCCAAGGAGCCAGCCCAGCTGGGAGATGGGCAGAAGTGATGAAATAATTCATGAGGCCAGGGGTCCCACCTCTGTAACCCTTGGGATCAAGTGTTTTCTGCTTCTTCCAGGAAAGGGGACAGATTCTTTGATCTAAGAGAAGGTCTTGCCCTGGGAAAGAACACAGGATACCCCAGACATTAAGGAGAAGAAATAAAGAACCAGAGATGCCATGCAAGTCACTTATTCATGTCTAGGGATTACATGTCGCTTGATGTCAAGCTGTACTTTTCCTGTTTATGTTCTGAGTCTATTTTGGGTCCTAATCGCTAGCAGGAGTTTCATGAGCGGAGAGGTTCCCTCACACCTGCAGCCACCACCGAGTGTCTTCTCCTGTGCTTCAGAACACACGCTTGCATGATGAGGAGGAGTTAGTTACCCCATTTCACACATGTGGACCAAGATCTTGAAAGTCTGTGATGTACATGAGGTGACCCAGTCAGGAACTGGGTAACTCCAGACTAGAACTCAACTGCTAGACATCAAAGTCAATGCCTTCTTTTCAACATAAAAATAAAACCCCAGCTATTTTCCCATGGACTAAAATCAGCCTTTGAATCTTTGTGTGTGTGTGTGTATTTGTGTGCTCAGTTGCTGAGTCATGTCAAACTCTGCAACCCTATAAACTGCAGCCCACCAGGCTCCTCTGTCCATGAGATTTTCCAGTCAAGAATACTGGAGTGGGTTGCCATTTACTCCTCCAGGGGATCTTCCCAACAGGGATCAAACCTATGTCTTTTGCATCTCCTGTATTGGCAGGCAGATTCTTTACCACTGCTTCCCTTTTGAGTCTGTAGTTGACTTTAAAAGGCAACACATCTGGCAAATTGAAGGCATCCGTGGTCCCAGTCCCTCACCCACCCTGACTTTTGCAGGCACCTTTGCAGTGTGCCTGCCCTTCCAAGAGTGGGGTCCCTAGCCTGCCTTCTGACGTTGGTCTTGGGCCTGTGACTTGTTTTGGCTAATAGAATAGGTGGAAGTAGCAGAACCCCAGTTTCAACCTAGACCTCAGGATGCCCTGCCCGTCTCCCCCCTGCCCTTGTGCTGTTGCTATGACAACCTGTTCAGGACACCTCGATGGAGGATGAGAGGGACACGGAGCATAGCCAGACTGCCTGACTCTCCCAAACCACGGCCAGCCCCGCTCGTTGGCAGCCAGCCATCCACCTCTTCTGTGCATCACCGAGGTCACCAGGTCCACCCTGCCCTCAATTCACACTGTCCTCACTCTTTTGGGCAAAGACCTGAAGAATGGAACGATCACTTAGGAAGGCTAAGGCCAGAGTTCTGAGTGATCTGGAATGTTCTGAGAGGTGATTTGGGCCACTGCAAGGATCAGGCCATGCAAGCAAGGCATGTGGCTGAAA